TTTCTCTAGAAAGTCCTTCAACAGTCTTATACCAGATCCCACCATTCGTCATTCCTCTAGGAGCTGGAGAACATTTCCTAGACCTGTCCTTAAGTGCTCTTAGACTTTCAAAATTCTCCCCCATTCCTATCTCCATATAAAATCTATTCTTTTAGTTTTGGTAAGAAACAAATCTGGTTGAACTACAGAAAAAAAATCTAAGGATTCATAGATCTGTGATTCAGTTTCGGGTATTAGTAAATACTGTCTCTTCAAACATTATTCACATTTACGTTGCTTTTATATATACTGAAAATGTAACTGCTTTGGTATCAAGTGTTATAAGCTTGGGATTTGGGGGTTTTACGTACTCTGACATGAATCCTAGTCCTGCCACTGATTAGTGTGTGGCCTTGCTGGTTATGTTTCCTCCCTAAACCTCAGTTTCTCCGAAATGAAGAGACGAATAGAACACTGGTAGCACCTCCCCACCAGTGCCTGCCTCTAGCATGGGAGGAGTCTGTGCATCATAAATCTGCCTTCTCTCTCCTTACCACCACACTTCTTCTAGTTGACCCCAGAAATGCTGAGTTACTAAGTAAAAGTAATAGTAATTACAGTAATTTATGGAAACTGCTTATCATTTAAGCCTTAATTACCATGCAGCACAATAACAATTACGCACACTATTAAATGTGTCAGATTCACTTTGCCGCATGTTTTATTTGATTTTTAACACTAACATCTATTCACAGAGGCTGTCTGTAGCTCACACAGCATGTGCCACCTTACAATTAAAAAAATATTAGCGGGAACAGTGCCTAGGAGGGGAAATCAGGCACCTCAGGGAGAAATTAAAGAAGTAATTTGTTTCAGAGAGCTTCAGATATAATCACTTATCTCCCTCCTTGCTCACAGGACTAAACACTTGCAGGATGAGAGAAGATCATTTCCCATGTTTCTTTGCCCAGTCTTATTGGCTCAGTGTCTTTTTTCGCACCAGGCTGATAAATTAGCTTTTCTTGTTCAAGTGCCCATCTCTTGGTATGATGAACTATGGTTGGAGGGTAGGGGGACTGGGTCATGTGATAAAGAATATGACCATTTGTCTTAGTTTGCATACTCTGACAAACAGACACCAAGATGAGATTAGAAGTGCTACAGTGTTTTAAATCTGACTTCAGAACTGGAGGAAGAAACTTAAGATAGCCAAGATGGAATCTGTCACAGGTGTCCCGTGATATGTAACAACATTCCTAGGAACAAAAGCCAAAGTTGGGCATACTTTGGTTGCTGATTGGTAAATCTAACCTGAGTCAGCATCCTATTGACTTCCACTAGTTTGAGACTTTATAATTAGGGCTGTTAAGTTTCCAGTGAAGGGAAGAAGTAAATAATCAACCCAAGATTTATCCACTAAAAATGTAGAGAAATGTACTGCTCAGATTTCATGTAAATGACCCATGAGCAGGGTAGCATTTTAATGCCAAGCACAGTCACTGCCTGGAAGCTCTTGCAGCATGAGTTCAACTACTAGAACAGCTGCCCTCTCTTCTAAAAAGCTTGTTCTTTTAGCTTGAGCTTGCAGCTTCTGGAAGCAAGCCGACGAGGTAAGAGGAAGAGGACATGGAACCAGCTAAGACATTTCCGCCTGGCACAAGTGTTAATGCTTACACATTTGCTAAGGGGACCATGTGAGTTTCAATTTTTATCCAAATCAATGCTGGGATGTTAGGGAGATACGGATCTTTAAGGTGGATTTCTGGGAACAACTACTTTTCCTTTTTAAATCCAGCATAGTCCTGCCTTCTCAATTATCGCCCAGTCACTCACTCTTAGAAATTGATCTTGTTTCTTTAGCCATAGTTAAAAACAAAAATGAGACAGGATCCTCAGCCGTCTGCTGTTGCTGTCACTAACACGACAATCCCCAAATAACTCAAAAGAAATGCTGCACCCTTCTTTTCCTCTGCTTCACACTAGAGAGGGGAGGTTACTTCCTTTCCTTGCATCTCATTCTCTCTTGTGCTCCTTCGGGCTTTGCTTTATCACTTAGCTCCTCTTTTCCCTATCTCTTCAATAACTCCTCACTCCATGTGATTCTGTCCCACAAGCATTTAGTCATGTTTAGCTTCTTGTTACTCTAAGGGGTGGGGAGGAGGGGAAAAGAAAAACTAAAACTTTACTTCGATGCATGTCTGTCTGGAGCTATCTCCCTAGTTTTCTTTCCCTTTAGAGGCTAGCTTCTTGCAAGAATTTTCATGTCAAATCTTAATTTCCTCATCAAATAGTCACTCTTCAATTCATTGCAATATAGACTTCTGTGCGGGGTCAGATCTAATAGATACTTCATCTTTATCTTCTGGCTGAACATTTCTTCCTGCTAGAAGTGTTCCTCCTTCAATTATCATATTACTTTTTTCTGGTTTTTCTTTCACTTCTTTGATTCCTCCTCCTCCTTAGTCTTTTGTACATGTTCCTTCTTCCGTCCTCTTCTTAAATGTTGGTATTCACCAGAGTTCTATTCTCAGTCGTGTTCTAGGTCATCTCATTTGTTTCAGTAACTTCAGCTACATCCTCATGTGCTCAAGACCCAGCCCTTATCTCACCGTCGAATCCCAGAGCCATGTAAACTCCCTTCTGGACACTCCTCTGTGTGGCCCACAAGCACCTCAAATTCAACATGCCAAGAAAGGGAACTCCCCGTCTTGACCGCAAGGCTGCTCCTCCACTGAGTTCCCAGCTCAATTAGTGGCATCACAACCCAGTTAGCTGCCCAAGTCAGATTCCTGGCCATCACTGCTGGCCTCCCACCTCCCCCATTTACTGAAATCCCAAGTCCTCCTATTGCACTTTAAACATGTCTCATCTCTAGCTTTAGTGCTACTGCCAGAATTTAGGTAATTCATTCATTCAAGAATCGTCTACTGGTTATCCATCATCAACTCTTGCCTAGATTACTGAACAGCCTCCTAGATTCTATTCTGAATCTGTTCTCCAGTTTGCAGCAAGGGTGATCTTTAAAAAAAAATCCCCTGATTAAAACCCTTCATTGCCTCTTCATAGTTTTCAGGATGTCAAGCTTCCTAACATAGCAAATAAGGGCTAGGGCTTCCATAAACAAGCCCCTACGTCTCTTGACCTCATCCCAGAGCAGTGCCCCTCCCGTCCATTCATACTCAGCCAACAGTCTCTATACTTGTTTCTGCCAATGTCACCTTTCTCCAAGCCCTGTCTCCTCACCTCCATGATAAACTTCTAGGTCCTACCTTAGGCAGTCACATCTCCAGAAATCTTGGATTGGATGCCCCTCTGTTGAACTCTGTCAGAGCACTTATCAACATTATAAAACACAACTGCCTGCTACCCTGCTTGTCTCCTTTCTCCACCTGATTGTAAGTTCTTTGAGGACAGGGATCCAGTCTTAGTAAAGTTTAAACCATCGGTTTTTATATGACTTGGTTTATATTATACAACTGTCATATAGAAGGCTTGGATAAATATTCAATTAATTAATAAGCTAAGTGGTATTCTTTTGATTATAGGTAAAATAAAAACAAAAAATATTTGTAAGTACTTTATGGTTCAAAACACAACTATCATCTCATTAATTTTTGTAACAATCCCATTAGGGAGGTCACACCACCAACCATATTTTAAACGTAAAGAAACAAGAAGAGAGAAAGTAAGTGATTTGCCCAAAGAAGGACTCAAACCTAGGCCTCCTGTATGGTAAGACTGAGAATCTTCTATCAAACAATCACATCTCTAGTGAAATATCTGGAAGTGAGCAAGGTTAATTCATTCTGCAGTAGGACTTCAAATCTTCCTAACTGTGCAAATTAATCTTTAGACATAAAAAGGGGGGAATATTTAAAGGAATTTTGAAAAGAAGAGGTTTAATTTGAATTAATACCTGTATTGCTTAAACTAATATGAAGAAACATTTCCATTTTCACAACTGTATTTAACATCTCAGAAAACTGAAAAAAATTTAATGTCTGTGGTAGTTACAAGATTTATGCATTTATTAATATTATGGATACGTGAGAAAAGAGTCAGAAAACTTACCTGTTCTTGGAAAGGCTCCTAGCTGTATGCCCTTAGAAATGCCTAGTCATAGCCATCTCCTGGGTCTTAAATGGCACTATGTTCTTGCTAGACGTAATCACAAATGAGCAGCAATGTTACCCATTTCCTTTAACCTACCTAAGATTAAAATCCACTTTCCTTACTGTGCTGACAAAGACCAAACTCAATTTAA